CTCAAATTTGCTTCTTCAATAACAATATCGAGAGTGTGGCTTTAAAAAAAATTCAGATTTGATATCATGTCTTCTTGTTTCTAAACAAAATAATGAACTTTTGATGAAAAATCATCAGTCACAGCCTACTAGTTCAGCCCCATTACCTAAGGCACATGCAGCCTCATATAATAATGGGCATGGTCGCAGTCGTTACCATGGTCGTAATCGTGGCAATAACCATGGCTGAAGGCATGCCCATGATCGAAATAATAGCTGACAACGTAGTGGTTTCAACCCTAAATATGAATTAGCTGAACAAAAGGATGTAAGGGGTAAAAACTTATAAAAGAACCCTGCAAAAATTTTTGAAAATTTTTGTTATCGATGTGGAGCGAAAAGACATTGGGAGCATGCCTGTCACACTACTAGGCATTTGGTTGATCTTTACCAAGCCTCACTTAATGAAAAGGGAAAAGGAAAAGATTCAGAAATGAATTTCATTGAGCATAATAATGTGGATCTTGATACACACTTTGATGTTGCTGATTTTTTCGAGGGTGTTGAAAAGTTTAATGGTGTTGGTGATACCCAACCAAGAGTTTGATTTATTATGTCCTCTTAAATAATTTGCCTTAAGTGGTTATTTCCCTTTTTCTATATGTAATGTTCTTTTTATATTCAATAAAAGAATAATCATTTCAGAATATATATATTGAATATTTGTTTCCTCTATTTCATTTGTCTTTATTTAATACCAAATGGACTTGGATGATGTTAAGATCAATGATGGAGACCTATGTCTTGTTGACAATGACATAACACATACCATCTTGAGAAATGAGAATTATTTTTCTCAATTAAAGTTAGTTGAGGATAATGTTCATATAATATCTGGTATGACAAAGTTGATTGAAAGCTCTGCAATAGCTTACATTTTATTGCCTGAAGGAACAAAATTATTAATACATGACGCTCTATATTCTACTAGATCAAATTGAAATATACTAAGTTTTAAGGATATACGTCGTAATGGTTTCCATATTGAAACCACGGATGAGAATGGAATAGAATTCTTCCATGTCACAACTTTTGCATTTGGAGAAAAGAAAATATTGGAGAAAATGTAAACATTCTCTTCTAGATTGTCTTATACATATATACATCCAATAGAATCCAATGTTGTGACTAATAAGAAAATAGTCAATCCATATGCCTTTATCCTTTGGCACAATCGACTTGGTCATCCATGTGTTATTATGATGTGGAGAATTATAGAAAGTTCACATGGACACCAATTAAAAAACTTAAAAGTTCTATTATCAAGTGATTTTTTATGTGTTGCTTGCTCCCTGGGTAAATTAATTACCAGGCCTTTTGCAACTAAACTAGAAAATGAATCTCCTCCATTTTTGGAATGGATTCAAGGAGATATTTGTGGACCTATAAATCCACCATTTGGACCATTTCAATATTTTATGGTGTTGATAAATGCTTCAACAGGATGGTCGCATGTTTGCCTATTGTTCTACACACAATGTTGTGTTTGTAAGACTGCTTGCGCAAATAATAAAATTAAGGGTACAATTTCCTAATTATATAATAAAAAGGATCCAACTTGATAATGCAGGAGAATTTACATTCAATCTTTTAATAATTATTGTATGTCAATTGAGACTACTGTTGAGCATCCAGTTCCTCATATACATACACAAAATGGTTTGGTTGAATCTTTTATTAAGTGTCTACAATTAATTGTAAGACTGCTACTTATGAGATCAAAGTTACCCTTTTCTGCTTGGGGTCATGCTATATTGCATGCTGCAGTATTAATTCAATTAAGGCCAACTGCTTACCATAAGCATTCACCATTATAACTTGTTTCTGGGATTGAACCAAATATATCCCATTTAAAGATTTTTGGTTGTGTTGTATGTGTTACTATTGCTCCTACACAACGCACTAAAATGGGTCCCCAAAGAAAGTTGGGAATTTATGTTGGTTTTGAATCATCATCTATAATTAAATATCTTGAACTAATGATTGGTGATCTCATCACAGTAAGATTTGCTGATTGTCATTTCGATGAAAATTTGTTCCCAGCATTAGGGGGAAAGGAACAAAAGTTTAAAAAAAAAAACATGAATTAACTTGGGATGCATTATTTATATCTCATTTAGACCCTCGAACAGGTCAAAGTGAATTAGAAGTTTAGAAAATTATTCATTTGCAAAAGATTGCAAATCAATTGCCTGATGGATCCATTGATGCAAAGAAAGTAACTAGTTCACACATCCCAGTTTTTAATGCTCCTGCTTGAATTAATATTGCTATCGAAAAAGATGCTAAGACAATAGCAAATGAATCTATTGTATGCCAAAAGCATGGTAGACTTGTTGGTTCCAAAGATAAAATCCAAGAATAAAGAGAAAGCAAAATACTGGCTTCTCGGAAATTGTAGAGATTCAAGAGTTCTCTAAACAACAGCCAAAAAATGCATTCAAAGAAATAATCCCAAAAAATGTTCAAGTTCTTGAGCATGATGAAGATGTGAAAATTGTAGATAATAATGAGATCTCAATAAGTTATATTTCCATTAGAATAAAGTGGAATCGAAATGATGTTGTCATTTATGATGTTTTTGCATTTGCAATAACAAATGATATAGTCAATGAAAATGGGGATCTTGAACCAAAATCCATTGAAGAATGCCGATAAAGAAGTGATTGGCCAAAACGGAAAGATGCAATTTAGGCAAAATTGAAATCATTAGAAAAATGCCAAGTTTTTGGACCAATTGTCCAAATACCCAATAATGTAAAGCCTGTCGATTATAAATGGGTGTTTGTGAGAAAACGAAATGAGAAAAATGAGGTTGTGAGATATAATTAGTGCATTGATGTATTTAGCTAACAATACGCGACCTGATATCATGTTTTCTGTGAATTTGTTAGCAAGATATAGTTCTGCAGCAACACAAAGACATGGGATTATTTTACTTAAAGCACTCAAAACCAGAGTTAATTGGATATGCAGATGTTGGATATTTGTCTGATCTCCATATAAAGGTAGATCATAAACTGGATATTTTTTCACATATGGTGGTATCGCAATTTCTTGGCATTTAACCAAACAGACCATTGTTGCCACATCCTCAAATCAATCAGAATTGATTGCTCTATATGAGGCCAGTCAAGAATGTGTATGGTTAAGATCTTTGATCCAACATGTTCAAGAAACATGTGGTCTTAAAGCAATTATAGGAAATCTGACCTTATTATATGAGGACAATAATGCATGCATTGCAAAAATAAAGGAAGGATTCATCAAAGGACATAGAACTAAACATATTTCTCCAAAGTTTTTCTTTACACATGAACTTGAAAATGCTGGTAAAATAGATGTTTAGCAAACCAGTTCAAATGAAAATCTTGCAGATCTTTTCACAAAGTCACTGCCTACCAAAGTTTTTGAACAACTTGTACACAAGATAAGCATGCGACGTCTTGAAGAGATTTGTTGAAGTGATGGGGAGTTTTATACGTACTGCACTCTTTTTCCCTTCGCTATGGTTTTTATTCCATTGGGTTTTTCCTTACAAGGTTTTTAATGAGGTAGTTTAAAAGTATATAGAACAAAAAAGGTGAGCATCTAAGGGGAACGATTGTGAAATCCTTCCCATTAGTGGATGCTTCACCTTCATATTCATCTTCTTCCATGTTGTAACTCCTCACAATTAAGGGGTAATTCCTCACCATTAAAGGGTCATTCATGATCCCACTAAAGGCCATTCAAAGGGTCATTAAGGTGTCATTCAAGAGTCCATCAAAGTGCCATTCATTCTCTCATTTAGTTTTATTCAATGGCTAATGTAACCCCCTATATCCCTTAGCCTATATATAGTCCTACAAATTTGTATAATTGGTACATGAAAGAGTATATGGTGAAATAAGAAACTTTCTCTTTTGTTTGTCATCTTGCTACTCTACCTCTTATTTTATAATAAAAAAGAGATTATCTCACATTTATTCTTATTCTCTATCCAGTAAGGAAAAAAGAGATAATGATTATGAGTCTACAAAAAGCTAGAGAGAGGGAAAATCAGGGAATACTCTTTTCTTTTTCTTTTTTCTTTTTTTCTTTTTTTTTTATAAATTTTTTTTACAAGGGAATACCTCCTTTCTTTCTTAAACTCTTTGTCGAGCTCAATATTCTAACGTTAAACCTGCATCTTAAGTCATAAACTCGTATTAATTGAGCATAACGCCTAACGAAGGAAAAGTAAATAAAAGGCGAAATTTGCAGTGCTCTCCAAACTGTGTACAAAACTATTGTTAGCTCTTTGATATTTTGCAATTATTAAAGAGGTTAGCAGAGTATGCAAAACAATTGCTAGCTGTTTGATATTTTGCAATTATCAAAGAGATTAGCAGAGTACAGATATGTTGTAATTTTCTTTTTTTTTTTGAAAAACTTATTTAAAAACTCAGTTTACAATTAAGGAATATTTATTTTGACTTTTAACCCTAGTTAAATAAATTAGATATTTTAAATTATAAATAATAATAATTATCTATTATTAAGTATTTATTATCAGCCACTAATTATATTAAAACAGTTAATTTAAATAACTTTTAATATTTTTAAAAATTAATTGTTAAATTTTTTTTAAATACAAGAATGAAACTTAAAGCCTACACCTTGATTTAAATGAGACTACTTTCATAAGGGCAAAGTGACCACTAGGCCACGAGCACTTTTCAAAAACCAACTCCTAAATTACAAACCATATTTATATAAATTCATATGTTAATTTTTAAATTAATTTAACATTTATAATTCTTTCATCAAATAAACTTTACATTAATTTTTTTATAATAAACAAATCACTTAAACTTAATCAATCTAAAATTTAATATAAATAATCTACATAAAAAGCCATTCAATCCAACTATTAACTTATAAATATATTAGTTAAAATATGATGTTTTTAAAATGTACTTTCAAAAAATTTCCCGCAAAATACTTTTTCAAATCTATTTCCATTTATAAGTTTAGAGCACGGGCATTAATTTCAATCAAGATCTAAAGATGCATTTCCCAACAAAATATACATCCATTGTCTTACGGTATATTAGGCTACAGGGGAAGAGCCAGCCCGTGTACTCCCAAAAAGAAACAAAAGGAAAGAAAAAGATAGCTAAACAGCTTTGATAGTAACTTCTGAATGCAGCACCATCAATCCACTGGTGACAAAGCGACAACTCCAATGGCATGCAAACGCCATTCAAACTCGTTCAACTAGCAATGATTATGGCATATCGACAGTACTATGATGAGAATCAAGGCAACCAGGATACCGAGGACTATCAACTTTATCTTCATGTTCTGATACCACATCTTCCTCCGGATCTGGGTTCCCTGCTGCCTGAAATCTTGCGCCTATGAAGCAGAAAAAATCACTCATACCATAACGTAGTCATTGGACAGAACCAGAAACCAAGCAAATACGAATGATCAAATCACTCCAGAATATTTGTGAACTTATGAACCATCAGGAGATTAGTAAATATTAACCGAGGAGGATGGAAGTAATGGTCAGATAAGACAGAAAAAGAACTACTTGTTGGGACTGATGTCATGGAACCACATTATAATCTTTACATTAGGATGCTAGGACATTATATAAAAACTTAAAATAAATTTGTAAAACATAAGTTGCAATAAAGCAGTGATATACTTTGTAGCATACAGTCAAACATGACCTAGGTTTACTAACCTGAGAACGAAGGTTCTCTGTTTTGTCCACCAGAAGCTCAATTTTCTCTCCACGGTCAAGAACCTGCAAAATAAATTTGTTAATGAAATACATTAATATACCCCAGCTTAAGAAAGGATTTTATAAAATTCTAGTATCAAGAACATAAAGCAATCTGATAGCACTCATTGCATTAAGCAACGGTATTCTATTCAGACATTACACTCCACTTTCCTCATTTTTATTGTTCCAATTATTGTCCACAATCAACAAGTCAAGAGGCATTTGACTTTCCAGTTATATCCTTTCCTTTCTTGAGAATTAATTACTAAAATATAGAACTAAAACAATAAATTTAAGCAACTTTAACCCAAGACTGTACAAAAAAATTAGCATGGCAAAGGCCTACTACCATGAGATTGCAGTAGGTGCAAAAGAAACCATAATTTTAGGGCATAAGTACAAGAGGTAACCGATAATCACTCACCTTCTCTATGTTTTCCATCATAACACCTTTGACTTCAGAGACTTGAGCTTTCACTTTGGCGAGCTTACTGATCTCCTCTGGATGATCGACACAATACTGCATCTGCTCCTTCAGTTTTGGCCTACATCAACGATATTAAATTCATAACATTAATGTAAAAATTGATAGATAGATATGTACATACAACATACAAACATATATCATGATATGTAATGAAAAGGAGTCAAAGACAATACCCAAACTCCTTGTTCAGACTATTTGCAGCAGCTGTAGAAGCTTTTCCTCCACCATATCTCTTGATGAAATCCTCCTTGACTCTCTCAAGGAAGGCAATAGGAATCTGTCGGCCAACAGACTCGACAGCAACCACACAGTAGGCTGCACAACATTAAAACTAAAGCTCAGCAAAGAGAAGTTATTCAATTACAAAAGGAAAAGAAAGAAAAGCAAACAAGTAGAAGTCAACATAGAAAAAATCAAGCAAGCACCCAATGTCCAATTGCTCCATCAAAAACAGATGGACCAGAAGCTCAAAGCTGGCTTTACTGTTATGACCATTAGGAAACACATTACCCCTCCACTCTTCCTTTTTTGGCCTAAAAACTAGCATTCCCCCTCAACTCCACTGGCTCCCTAAAAGTCTAAGTTGTCCCTTTTATATTAGCCAAAAACCTACTTTTAGCCCATCATCTTACCAAATTTGAAGCTTTTAGCCCCTCATACTATGACACTTTTAACCCCTCACCTTACTAGATTTGTAGGCTTTAACCCCTTATTAAAATCGAAGAAAATAACCCTCACTTTATATTCATTGTTAACTGTTGACTCTATTAACTGAAAGTAGGTTTTTATCAACTAACAATTAACTAATAGTCAATTAACAGAATTAATAAAACATTATAAAGTTAATTTTATTAACTCTATTAATTGAAAGAAGATTTTTATCAGCTAACAGTCAACTAATAGAGTTCACAATCAGCTAACAGAACTAATAAAATATTACAAAGTGAGCTTATTTTCTTCGATTTTAATAGGTGAAGGGCTAAAAGTGTCATAGTACAAGGTAAGGAGTTAAAACCTACCAATCTAGTAAGGTAAGGGTCTAAAAGTGTCATAATATAAAGTGGGGGGTTAAAGCCTTCAAATTTGATAAAGCGAGGGGCTAAAAGTAGACTTTTGCCTTTATATTAACTGCCACATTTCTTCCCTATAGGAGGAGCGGGAGGGGGGAGGGGGAAGAAAACAAGTAATCTCATAAACTAAAGAAAAAGTGGAATTGAATCAAATGCCACCCTAGAAAGAAAAAATGCACATCTAGAAAAGTTACATAGATTTTGATCATACCCCAATTGAAATAAAAAAGCCAAAAGTTGGTAAGCTTTATACATATATATGTGTGAGAGAGAGATTAATGGGCATCAACCTTATTGCAAAAAATTAGGCAAAAAAATACCCTAAAACTACATAGTTTTAATAAAGTACGATAAAAAAATATTAAAACAACCTCATTCTTGGTTTAAAAATAGGGATATTTTAGTCTTTTTCAATGGAACTTAATTGAAATGACATAATTTTAGGATATTTTTCCGCCAAATTTTTTGAAATACAAGTTGATACCCATTTTTCTTATATATATATTGAAAAGATATTTATTAACTGGACTTGCAAAAAATTAGGCAGAGAACCATTTCAAAACTATATCGTTTTAATAAATTCTCATTGAAAAAGACTCTAACCTACTTTTTAAAGCAAAAAAAATACTATTTTAGTGTTTTCTCGTGATACTTTACTAAAACAACATAGTTTAAAAGTATTTTTCTGCCTAATTTTTTGCAAGTCTGGCCGATAAACATTAATCTCTCTATATATATACAACAATGGTTTATCTAATTTATGAAAATCTCCAACAAAAACTTTGAATCATTGTTACACCTAATAAGAATGAAAAGGCCAAAAACTTCAAAGGTCAATATAAATTAAAAAGAGGAAAAGAAGATAACAACGGATAGTTTAACTAATCTACCATAAATTAATCTCCAACAAGAACTTTCAATTGTTATTTCTTCCAAAATCATCGTATCAACCAACACAATCATTATATCAACCAACAAATTCATTCTACACTAAACATAAGAACAGGGATTAAGATTAATTATCATGTTCAGTTTCCCAATTCTGTTACTTAAAGATATCATACAAGTATGAATAAAAAAATCTGAATATTTGACATTTTGACTCTGAATAGGCATCTCAGGATACAAACTTCACAGTTTCATTTAGATGGAACAGATATGGAGAGATACATAGTTCACAATTTTGTTGTATGACAAACACAATAGACTTTGATCAACTATGCATACATGACCATCTAATCCAAATGAGGTCAATTTGTCAGTTTTCCACATACAGAGTTCTAACTTCAGAAGACTCTTTTCCTCCTACGGCAGGCAGCAAAATCCAAATAAAATGGTACATTAACCTTTTTTGTTATTCTTCATTCTAAATTTCCAATCTCTTCTCTGCATTTATTTTCTTATCTTCTTAGAGTATGTTTGGTGAAGCTTGTAAGAGCTTTTACTTTTTTTGTACCATTTATGAGTGATAAGTTTAAATTTTTATTGAAGGAAAAATTTAAAAATTGTTTTTAGAAATAGAAAAAAATGAGTAAGAAGTGAGTAAAAAAGAAGTTTATAAAAAACACAAATTTAAAGCTTTTTAAAATTTACTGTTTAAGATCTTTTTAAAGTTAAAAAAAAATTAAAAAATATTAGTTTTTAAGAGGGATATTTAAACTTATGAAACATGAATAGTATCAAAAAACTGAAGCTCTTACACGCTTCACCAAACATGCTCTTAATTTCCTCTGTTTTCCTTCCTCAAATCTATTTTTTCTTTTCTGTTTTCCTAGTGAACAAAGCTGAAACTTCAACTTTACAGTCACAACCAAGCTTGGAAGGGGCTTCTTCAGATGATGTAATGAGAAGAATCTAGGAAACTCAACCGATGGATATAACAGACCTAAAACTTTAGAACAAGAATATGATGATTTTTAGGAACGATTTACATATGAAATAATCAAGGAATAGGATAGGAGTAAACCATCAAAATTAAAACACAAATAATTCAAATATAAAATCACAAGACACAAGCTTCTGCCCTTAAAATAGTTAGAAAGCTCAAAATTGAAGCATAAATCACTCATTGCATATCTTACTTTACTGCTCTCCTTTATCTTTTTTTGACTTGAACTTTTACCACATTAATCTTAGTAATTATAAACCACTTAGACACGTAATCAAATCAAACTAAAGGCTGAGGAAAAAACAATAAAATGAAAATCAATTGCAAATGGCCGATCGGAATAACTAACGAAGTCAAAACTAATGATCATAACTAATTACCAAATCTATCACCAAATGAAAAAAGCAATTATCACATCCTTGAGCATAATTAAAAACTAACACCATCATCTTCATAATATATACATGTTTAGTAGGAACAATATGATCAACAACTAAAACCGGATTGGAAACAAAGGAAATAGGCAGATCAGAGCGATAACACAAAAGAAAAGGGAAAAAACGATGAAATAGAAATGGAAAGAGGATATACTGAAGCCGTTATCAACGAGGTAGTTGAAGGTGTGTCCATCGCAGTTGTAGGTGAACTTGTTGCTAGACGCCGGCAGCTTTTGGAGGCACTGAGAGGCTATGCTGGTGAAGTTACCGGTGAATTCAGTGAAGTCCGCCAAAATCACGGTGCCGCGAGCAACGAACGCGTAGATCAACAATTGCTGCCCCATCAACAATCCCTAACCCTAACCGTAACAAAGAAATAGCCCTGGGAAAAAGGATTCGAGATATCGAAAACGAGGTAGCAAAATGGAATGAGAAACGGATGATATTGTCGAGGGAGTGAGAAAGGGAAAAAGGAGGCGATTCGAGTTTCCTTTTCGTGTTCGCTTAGAGGATAAGTTATGCACCCCTTTTTATCTTTTAAGCGCGTTAGCTACCCTTCAAATTGTAATGAAATAACGGAAATGCCACGGTGTTTTGAATTTCTGATTTTTTTTTGAATTTCTGAAATTATGAACTAGCAAGGGGCATGAGGTTTACGCTTTATAGTTACTTATTATTTTATTAATATTATTAAAATTTTGATTAGTTTAAGTATTAAAAATAATTAATAATTTATAAAATAAATAATATTATATTTATTATTTT